GAGGGGAATTGTGGGGTTCACCTTCCTGGTGTTGGAGTGATGGTGGCTCCCGGTGGTGGAAGGTGTGGCTATCCTTCCTTTGGTGAATCAGGGCCCAGGCAGCACTCCTGGTGCTGGATAGATGGCGGCTCCCGGTGGGGGAAGGAGAGGCTATCCTTCCCGTGGTGGATCCTGGCCCAGGCAGCCCTCCTGGTGCTGGAGCGATCTGGCAATTTTATTTAGGGATTTTGACCTGTGGGACTTTTAGCATTCAAGATTTTGATGTTCAGGGTTATGTCTTTTAGAATTATGATCAACATCAAGAACTGACATCTTGATAGGTATTAAGTCTTTTTCCCCATGAATATATTTCTCAATTCATGTTTTTGTTTTTGTTTTGAGATAAGGCCTCGCTGTGTAGTTCAGGCTGGCCATGACCTCACTATGTAGTCCAAGCTGCCCTCTAACCTGTGGCAACCCTTCTGCCTCAGCCTCCTAAATGCTGTTTATTATAGGTGTGTGCCACCATGCCCAGCTGCCAAGTTATTTAGTTAATGTCTTTTCATAGGCATTTTGTTATTTTCTTTTTTCCCTCCTTGTCCCTGCCCTCCCTTCACCCCCTCCTCCCCTTCCCATTTACACTTTATTTTGTTATTTTCTTGATCTAGGTCCTGTACATATTTTTCTTGACTTACACCTAAGTATATCATATTTTTTGGAGCTTAATATAGACAGCATTGTTTTTAAGCTCACTTATGCATTGTTTTAGTCACTTTCCTATCAGTGGCACAAAATACCTCACCACCCACACCTTAAAGGGAGAAAGGTTTATTTGGCTCCCAGTTTCCACTGGGTTCTCTTACGGTTGGCTGACTCCAAGGCAGAATCAGCATGGTAAAGGGCATAGTGAAGGATAGTTGTTCACTCCATGGCAGCCAGGAAACGGAGAAAGAGAAGGGAGAAATAAGGAAGAGAATATACTCTTCTAAATCAGGTTCCCAGTGACCTACCTCTAACTAGGCCCTAACTCCTAGCAGCACATTCACCTATGAACTTACCATTAGATAAATCTACTGCCCCATGATCTAATCAACTTTCAAAAGACCCATCTCTGAACACGTGAGATGCTTGGGGAAAATTTTAAATCTAAACCATAACACTCTGGCCCCGGCCCCACAAAGGCTCATTTCCATCTCATCATTCAAAATGCATTTAGTCCATCTCTAAAAGTTAGCAAAGTCTTAACAGTTCCAGCATTGCTGAAAAATAGTTCCAGTCTTCTCTGAGACTCAAGGCAAACTCTTAGCTATGAGCCCTTAGAGAAATCGAAGAAAGTTAAGTACTTCTAATATGTAATGGCACAGAATAAGCATTCCCATTCCAAAAGGAAGGAATAGGAGGATAGATGAAATCCAGCAGGGCAGACATTAAATCCTATAGTTCCATGGCCAGAACCTATGGCATGTTGTGGTGAGATATGAACTCCAAAAGCTTGAGCAACTCTGTTCCTGTGCCCTTGCTAGTCATAGCCCACTCTCTTGGACTGACTGACTGGTGCCTGCAGTTTTTTTCACCAGACATTTCACATTCCTAGCAGCTCCAAATTCCTGGAATCTCCCCTTTACTTTTGGCTTCATATGTCATCTTTTCAAGGCCTCCTGGCAGGGACTTTGACCCTGTTACACATTTTTAGCTGGTCTTCCTTTTTAGGCCTTCTAAAATTTCTGTGGAAACCTCCATGACCCCATAACGCTTGCATTCTGCATGCGTGAAGAACCAGCACCATACGGATGGCATGAAGGGCTGCTTCCAACTTGAGCAGTAGTGTGGTCTCTTGGAGCATGCCTGCAGTGGCCTCAGAGAACCCGCATGGCTGACCTCAAGGAAATACTTAACTAGTCTTTTGTAGTTCTGAATGATTAGGGCACCTGGGGGCTGCAAAATCTTTCAAAAGAACTTATCCTTTTCTACTCTTGAGTCTGTGATGGGTGGAGTCTGGCCAGCTTCTGAGATGCCTTCAAGCCATCATTGCTGCAGTGCTGATGCAAAGTACATGGTCTATTTTTAATGCTAATCTTTTCAACAACCACAGTCTCCTTTGTCCCAACTTTATAAGCACTTCTTTCTGGACAAGCTTCACATCATTTGGCTCTTGTGTCTGCTACAGATTCTCACTGTAAATCTGGCTGAAAGAATCCAGCATTATGCATGCTAGAGCCTGAATGTTGGGCTGCCATGAAATTTTTTCTGCCAGATTTATTAGTCTACCACCTTTAATCTCAGTCTCCTTAAAGTCTCAGGACATGGGAAAAATATAGACACTTTTTTTTTTTTTGCCAGAATGTAATACATATGGACTCTAGTCCAATTGCCAGTGGAGTTCTGTTCTCAATTGAAAGCTCTTCCACCTGGCCTTTATTGTCTGTATTCCTCTCAACATGCTTTTCTTCTGAGCTCACATATCAAGTATGTTTCATAGTACTCCAAGGCTTCTTTAGTCTGAATTTCCAAACTTTTCTAATCCTCCTTGCAAAACAGTTCCATAAGCTTCTGAACCACATGATACAATCATAGCAAGAGAGATGACTGAGAAAATATTTCTGAATGAAATATTTGTCAAAGAATAAATTACAATAGAAATTAGAAAAATTTGAGCTGAATGACAAGAACAGTTAAGTGTGGGATAGAAACTAAGTAATTTTTAAGGAAAAATTTATAGCATTAAAATACATACATTTTTAATGAGCAGTAACAACAAAGGCTGAAAACCAATCATCTAAGTACACAGGTTAGGAACATAGTACTTGCTCAGCCTGATAAAAATATATGTGAGAAACCATGGTTAATATCATACTTCCTAATGAAAGACTGAAAACTTTCTCCTCTAGGACCAAGAACCAAATAGTGATGTTTCTTCTTGTATTTATATTCATTATTGTCATAGAGGACAATAGGCCAGGGAAATTAGACATGAAAACATGTTTGAAGTCAGGGCAGTGGTTAACCTAGAGGAGGTGCATGGGACTGGGGTTTGGAGGGAATACCAGGGAACTTTCATGCTGTATTGTTACATTCTTTGTCATGGGTAGTGTTTACATCATATGTCTTTGCCTTGTAATAAGTTACTTGTTTTTGTTTTGTATTTTGTGGTAATTCTTATTTTTATTTGCAATAATTTATGTGTACATTTATGTTTTGTGAACTCTTCTATAAATTTCACAATAAAAAGATTAAAAGTATTGGGAGGTCTTAAAAAGGTGTACAGTAAGTCTCTGACTTAAGTACATTCACGGTTGTGAACTTTCACAGCTGTATTGTGTAGGACTCACTTTGTCGGTTTATGAACGAATCCAACTTATGAACAGTTCTGGAAAGGAACTCATTTGTGAGTTGGAGACTTACTGTACCAATGCCATTTGTTGGTCTTTAGACTTTCAATTCACATACTTATTATTTTACCAAATAGAATAAAAAATTCAAAGAACAAAATTGGATCAGTAAATTAGCTTCTTCAATGATTATAATATAAAATTTGTTAATACACAAGTCCTTCATTGTAATAGTTTTCTCTTGAACCTTTTTACTCTCAGAATGTAAGTTAACTTTTTTGTTTAAATTAGGAGGTGTTAATGATGCTGGATAACTATGTGAGAGATTTCAAAGCACTGATTGACTGGATCCAACTTCAGGAGAAGCTAGAGAAGACAGATGCTCAAAGCAGGTATTGAACTCTATACTTATATTTGTAATCAGCAGTTTCAATAGCAGTCATTGAAACTGACAGGGAATTTAACCTCAGATTGACTTGAAACATGTAAAAATCTAAGTTTAGTGCTACATTTCTCACTTAGTTCAGTAACATATTTTATCAGGTACCTGCCAGTGCAAGGTACGTTATTCAGGACAGAAATTTAATTTTTGTATATAGCACACTTACTACTCTCATGGAATTTGTAGTCTAAGCATATGATAAAATAGAACTTATAGTACTAAGACTATTATGGGTGTTCAAGAAGGACACTTCTATTTTGAGGATTGGTCAGGGATGATTTCATGGAGGGTGCATAAGTATTTAAATGTGATGGATTTTACAAAGTGTTTGGGCTTTCAGAGGAAGGGAGTAAATTAGAACAGTATGTGAGTGCAGACCAGTGGTAAAAAAAAAGTAAATAGGGAAATGTATAGTGTATTTTCCCATTATGTTAGGAAAACTGATGATTTTTGATTTGGAGAATAATGGGAGATGAAAGCTCTTTTGGAATAATATTCATTTGGTGTCTGTACATAGTATCTGGGTGTTGTACATGAGGCTCAGAGACCATGGTAAAGAAGACAGACATAGTTCTTGCCCTTGTGAAGTATGTAGTATGTGCTGTGGTCTGATTGTGTCCTCTCAAAATTCACATGTTGAAATATGATCACCAAGGTGGGAGATGGGGGAGGGAGGGGAAAGGAAAGTAAAAAGAATTAAAATATTTTATGTACATGTGCAAACTCCCTATGATGAAAATAATCATTGTGTACTACAAATATGCATAAATAAAAATTAAAGGAATTTAATCACCAGTATGATAGTATAAGGAAGTAGAGCCTTTAGAAGGTAAAGATTAAGTTATGAAGGTGTTGTCATGAATGGGATGCCTTCTTACCCTGAGAAGATAGACCTAGGCTGCCTCTTTGTTTTGAATTGAACTTTGCTTCAATCTCAGTGGGTGGAGCCATGCACTAAAAAGGCATCTTTTGTCTAATATCTTAGTCCTAAGAGGGGACCAAGAAGGTAAAGGGCTCCCTAGGGACAAATGTAGGAGAGCTAGATCTCCAGGAAATCAAAATCAGAGAAAATATGAATTGAACTTTAAAATATTTTTGTTTTTTATAATGATAAGTTTTGACTTTTTTATTTCCTGCCTTTGGATGGCTCAGTTCTAGGTATTTTTGTTTTTATCAAGAAGTTTTACCCTTACCCTTTGGCCGTAGGCCATTGGATCTGGGGGTAAATTCTTTCACTGGGCTGAATTAAACTAAGAGATTAGTATACTGATTTGTCTGACTAGTAGCTGTATTGCCCCTATGAGGATAAGCAGAGGAAAGCAGGTTGAAAGAAAATGGAATAGATTTACAAAGAGAAGGAGAGATGAGAGAAATCATAAGATGAGAGAAATTATAAAGAGCTCAAGGTCTGTCTGTTCCAGGTCTAATCCTCATGAGCCCTGATTTTAATTTTTCCTTCCTTTTGGAAGTCCTTGATTTGACATAGTTTATATCCTTAAAATAAGTTTATTTTTCTTTTCTGTTTTAATTTTCTGTACTTAAAAAAGGATCTATAACGTAACTACCAAAGGCATTTGAAAAAACATTTTTTTTTTAAAATCATGCTTTCAAATTCCAGTCAGCTAGCAGGGGATTTAGCTCAGTGGTTCCAGTGCCTGCTTCACAAGCACAAGGACCCGAGTTCAATCCCCAGTACATTAAAAAAAAGAGAGAGACACTTCAACTTCCAGTCAACTAGTGGTGGTTGCATTGAAAATTGTATTGAGAAAATTCAGAGTCCACCTGTAGGATTAACAGAGTGATAGCTTTCTCTATCCTGGTACCATGGTTCAGAAATATACCTGAGGCATCTGTTTTTGCCTGAACCATTTAGCAGCATTTCTTTTTTTGTTGTTGTTCGTGCTTTTGGTCTCAGGGATCAAACTTGGGTCCTTGTGCTTGCAAGGCAGGTGGGGAACCACTGAGCTAAATCCCCAGCCCCAGCATTTCTTCTCTTTGCCTCACAAGGCAGCACCAAGATATGGAATGTAACTTTAAATTTCCTGTAGATGGCATTATTTGTCTTACTTTCTTCAAGTCATGTATAATATTCATTTCAGTTTGAGATTTAAATGTGGAAAAGGTTCATATTTAAGGTACTAATATTGATAAGTGTTTATATATTTGTATTATGGGTAAGGACTAGGTAGAAACTACAAAGAAAAATATTGATTCACTCAATTTAACAAGAAAGAAAGCCTTTCTATATAAAAACAATTAAATTAAAAGCAAAATAATTGCAACACCAATGCCAATGGACTTGTAGCCATAATAATTATAATAGCATTCTAGTAAACTATTTCAGGTTCATTAGAAAGTGATACAAATCCTAGTGGAAAAGGGCTAAAGATACCAATATGTAAATCCCAGAAGACAAAATTCAATTCATTAGTTATTATAACAAACATGTACAATTAAAAAATGAAAATAATGAAATACCATTTTACCAGAGTAATTTTTAAAAGAAGATAGCAACTTTGGCCAGGTTGAAGGGAAATGGATACTCTTTATCCAGTGAGGGTATTGTATGTTACATTTCTAGCTTTACCATTTTTTTTCCCCAGTACCAGGTATTAAACTCAGGACCTTGCACTTGCCAGGCAGGCACAGCATCACTGAGTTATATCCCTGGCCTTGTGTGTTACATTTCTGGAAGATGATTTGGCAATAAATGGGCAAAAGGTTTAGGCTCTTGAATAATCTATTGTGTGAATTTTCTTCTTTTCTAACAATATCATTTTATTTGTTTGTTTTTTAGTACTGGGAATTGAACTCGGGTCCTTGTGCTTGCAAGGCAGGTGCCAGAACCACTGAGCTAAATCCCCAGCTCACTTTTTTAATAAGTGAAAAATCTCACTCACCAAACTGAATACAGTTAGCAACAGAAGACCCAGCGTGGTTACAAAATCTGACTGAGGGCATGGGAATAGAGAAGACATTGCTTAAAGGAACATTTTGGGGACTTTATCCTGTCCAGTGACTTATTGTGGGCCCAGTGGTGACAGAGGTGCAGAAGTTAAGTTGCATTTCCTAATGAATAGCAGTGAAATAATTATGTTCCCTGTCTTGTGGATGATTATGAGATAGAGGCTAGGGATACTTCATATTTTCCTACTTAACTCTCACCCTTTCTTTGTATCTTGACTTTTGCTGCATCAGAGTAGCCTGAATTAATACCATTGCCTTTTAATATATTTTAGCTGGGTGTGTGGAAGCTTGTATATCCTAAAGTATACCTCAAGTCTCTGTAACCCCATAACCCTTTTGAGACAAGTAAAGTCTCTGCTCTGGCACCACCTGTGATTTCTCAGCAGTAGTATGATAACTTTCTGGTAAGCAGTGCTGTAGGGAAAAATTGAGACTTGATTATGTTTTCAGTATTAATAGCCAAGAGGAATTATTAGTTTTTCCTTTTTCTCAGTTGATTTAATATGTTTTATGTCTTGATTTCACAGACCAACATCACTTGCATGGGAAGTAAAGAAGATGTCTCCAGGGCGTCATGTGATTCCAAGTCCATCAACAGATAGAATAAATGTAGCTTCAAATGCTCGAAGAAGCTTAAATTTTGGGTAAGATGAACTTAAAAAAGCTTACAAAGTCATGTATTTCTGTCAGTTATGTTCTGTGGAAAATACAGTATTATAATGCATAATATTTCACATAAAGATATTCATATATGTGTAGGTATGTTAGGTAGGAATACTGGGCAAAGCTTTAACCCTCAGAAAGGGGACACTGTGACACTGTGCACCAATTAGCGATCCCAGGGGACATTGAAACACCAAAGAAAGCTTATATATTATCCCTATTAACTTGTCTATAGTCCCATATATTATATAATATTATATGAAATAAGTTAAGTCAAGAAAAATTCATGAATCTAATTACCTTACATTGCTATCATAGTATTAGTCTCTATATAGATATACATAATTAAAAATCTAGTATGTTTCAAATGTACTTAACATTTCAATTTCCTATTTAATTTATTAGCTGTATTTCTTTTTCTCCCTAGGGGTTCACCTGGCACAGTGGTTGCTCCATGTCTGGCTCCTGCAGGTGTCAGCTGGGCTGACAAGGTGAAGGCTCATCACACAGGCTCTGCTTCTTCAGACACAGCCCCTGCTCCACTGTGTCCACCCATGGTTGTGCAGAAGGTGTCTCGCAGAAATGGCAAGTAACTCTGAAGTAGCCTTTTGTGTAGTAAACAGGTAGATGTAGATATATATATTTCAACATTGCTGCTCATAGAATTAGATATTAATCTTTTTTACATCTTTTTGTGATATTGGTTTGCTTAAGTTAAAATCATAGAATAAGGATATAGCTCAGGGATAGAGTGCTTGCCTGGCATGCACTGGGACCTGGAGTTGATCCCTCCCAACATGAAACAAAATTTTCCCAAACCATAAAGTCATCTTGAAAACTGATAACTAATTTTCAGCACTGTATGATAGTCAGTGGAGATCATTTTGGTTTCTCTTTGTCCTGTATAAACTTGGAGAAGGATGATGTTTTATCAGTTCATTTATATGATCCCTTAGAATTTTGACTTAAAATAGAAAAAGAAATGGGCTGTTTCATTCTTTAGGTAGGGCTGGGGATTTAGCTCAGTGGTTCCGCTGTCTACCTCACAAGCACAAGGACCAAGATCAATCCCCAGTACCAAAAACAAAAAAAAAAACAAAAAAAACAACAAAAATAACCACTATTCTTTAGGTAGTACACATTATACTTTAAGCTGATTTATATTTGATTATTATTTTGGTACTACAAAGTAATCTGTTTACCTTTGTTCACCTATTTATTTATTTATTTATTTTATTTATTTATTTTTTAAATTTTATTGAGTTTATTGGTACATTTTAGGGATACAGTACAGTTGCATTCATTGTTGGGATCATGTACCTCTACATGGCAAGTCTTGATTCTCATTTTTTCCCCTTACCTCTGCCCTCCCTTCACCCCCTCCTCCCTTCCCCATCTGCAAACACTTTATTTTCATCTTTTCATTCTCTCACATTTTTTTCTTTTCCCTTTTTGTTCTTCCCCTACGCATCACACCTTCCCTACACCTTTAGCTCCTTTCTTCAAATTTCTAAATGTCAGTAATCTTATTAGAATCTTATGCATTGTTGCAGCACCTATTTATTTTTTTATAAATTGGGATAATTAAGGAACACACATGAATATAAGGCATGTAATTATGAATGCCTATCTGGGACATTTTACTTGTAAGAATTTCCTTCATAAAACCTTCTTATACATACAGAAATCCTATAGGGGCTGGGTTGTGGGCATAATAATTAGTAACAGTGAGTCTGTATCATGAATAAAGGGAACTTCAGAAGCACTCTTCTGTTTTCTCCAGTGTCATGTTCCTGTGGAGCTTTTTGTTTCAGAAAGAAATGTTTTATTGCACATGACAGAGATGTTGCTATCTTTATATTGTGAATCAGCTATATTTTCATTTTTATTTAGGTTTCATTGAATTGTGTTGGCTTATTGCAAATGATATTCTTTACTTTTACCCAATATAATGCCCTTGGCTTCTTCATGTAGGCTGACTAGTAGCAAACGACAATAGGCAGAAGTTCTGTAATGTATATTTATACTTGATTGTCTACAAATATAATACATTATGTATTTTATATAAATATAATATTGTTATTTGTTTATATGTTATTATTTTTATGTTTTATTGCATTTATTTTCTACTGGTTTAACAAAATACCAGGCTGGGTGGTTTATAAATAAAGAGGTTTACTGAGCTTGCAGTTTTGGAAGCCGAAAGTCTAAGATGGTGCCTTGTCAGTTCATCCTCTGGTGAGGGCCTCCTGTAGTGGATAGTATTACCATGGCTGTAGTGAGAACAGTCTTATAGTGAGACTGCAGGCCAGAGAGCAGTTCAGGAATCAAGTTCTCTTTTATAACATCTCACTCTTTTGTGAACCAACTAGAGTCCCAAAAGAACCTTTAAATCTCTTCCAGGGGCAACACTCTTAGTAACTGTAGCTCCTCCTGTGAGGCTCTGCCTACTGAGTGAGGTTCCCCTGTCTCAGCACTGCATGCTGAAGACCAGACCTCCAGGATATGCACCTTTGGGAACAAAAGACATCCAAACCATAGCAAGCTCTTTATCTTAGAGAAAACTAGAAAAAAATGTGGAACCATAAAGTTTTAACCTGAAAGAAATATGTTATAAATTAAAAAAGGAAACAAAATCTTACAAGAATCATATTGTTAGCACTTCATGGCTTTATTTAAACCCGTACCTTCTTATTATTCACAAATAACCCATTTAGTTGAGGCAAGTGGCAGCACCACTGAGCTAAATCCCCATAACCCATTTGGTTGAAATGAAATAATAGATCATGATTATATCTGTGCTTAAAAACTTTATTAAGATATTGGGAAATTCCATTTTGGATCACTTTGGTCTTTAGTTTTTGGGTTCAGGTATGCTGGTATATGTACTGCTGAAGGTATAGCTTTAGTTTTAAGGTTTCTAATTTTGTGCTATGGAATAAAGTAATTCAAGATAAAGGTGATTGAGTGATCACATATATTTAATTTTCTCTTCCCCAAACACAGCTAAAATGATATAGAAAAGGATTTAAAAATTGAATCCATTTAAAAGGAGAAGAAATGATACGAACAAAGTTTGGGAAGACGGAGAGGAGAAAGACCACTGGTCTTTAAGTGATTTAGCCGAATCCTAAGATAAAAAGAAGGGAAAAAACTGAAATACAGTTTAGTTTTCCCCACAAAATCCTCAAAATGTTGAAAATTTGGTGGTGCAAGTATCTCTGAAGGTGAAGGTAGAGGCGGGGTGGTACTGTAAGATGCTTATTCTATTGAACCCTGTCTTTTTACTCTGATAGACACCTTCTCCCCCCAAATTGGAGGTTTATTCTCTAGAGATGGTAACAAAGATTATACCTGGCCTGAGTGATACAGGCACACTGGAAGGTAAGAAGAGCATATTAAAACCAGGGGATTAAATGAAAGACTGTGAAGATGATATTGAGGTTCCTCCTCCTCTTCGCTTTCACCTCCATCCCTCTTTTCCACTGATTAAATCAAGAAAGCCCATACTTGAGGAACACTTCAGGTCTGATATAGATCATGTGATACTGGTCTTCAAAGTCAGTACTCTGAAGTGGGTGTCGTGGACATTGATCATCATGGGAGACTTTGGTGGTGCCAGACTGTGGATGGCAATATGTTAACTGTGTACTTGGTATAGGGAACAACCAGTCCACATTTATGATGATTGCAGTAGTCTGGAAGTAAAGAATCCAGGAAGGCAAAAGAGCTTGTTTATACCATTACTTGCACAGATTAAAAGATGTTAAATTGAGAAGTTAGGGTTTAAATTGATTCTGAATACATAGAAGATATAGACTAAATCAGGGAAGGAAAAGATACAGGAAAATGTAGCAAAGAGTGTGAGAGTCACATCTCTGAATGGCACTCAGAACTGTGGCATGATATTGCAGAAGCAGCATTAGAAGAGGTGATCACTGAGAATTTCCCCAAACTGTTGAAAGGAATCAAATCTCAGATTCAAGAAGCAGTATTAATCCCAAATGGGAAAGTACAAAATGAATTTTGTCTAGCTATAACATGTTTAAAATGCTGACAGTTAAAAGGAAAAATTTTCAAGTAGTTGGAGAAAAAGATTCTATTTTCAAAGAAACAAGAGTAAGCTGATGGCTGACTTTACAGTAGAAATCATAAAAACTAGGTGACAATGGAAGGATGTCTTTAAATGCTGAAAGTAATGGACAAACTAGAATTTTATACCCGACAAAAATACCTTTAAGCAATTTGTCAAATAAGACAATTCCACACAAATAAAACGAGAAAATTCATACTCAGCAGTTAGATCTTCACTAAAAAAATACTACAGAGAAGAGCCTTTTAGGTGGAAGGAAAGTGAATCCAGGTAAAAAGTGTCATACATGGAGAAATGAGCAGTACCAGTAGGAGTGCACCTGGGGGGGTCATGTTAGATGTGTACTAACTAGATGAGCATAATGTCCCATGGACTTTGAAACAAGAAGGCTGAGAATTTGTGGCAGTAATACAGAGGACAGGAAAATAAATGCTGTATATATTTTATAAGGTCTAGGTGTTTACAGAAGTACTAACTTGTATTCAAGTGTAATAAATTGAGAATGCATATTCTAAACTCTAGTTAACCACTAAGAAGATTAAAAAAATATGATAGCCTTATGGAGAGGAAAGTGAGATAATAAAAATAATAAAATAATAAAAAGACAAGAAAGGAGAAAAAACATAAAACAGACTGGGTTAATAAAAAATTATAGAAGTAAATACCAATATATCAATCTCTGCATGAAATATAAATTGTCTAAATATTCAGTTATAAAAACAAAAATTGTAAGATTGCATTAAGAATAAATGCCAACTATATTTTTCTACCAGAGATACAACTTCAGTATGAGAATAGAAAAGTCTAAGTAAATATATTCTATGCATATCCTACTTAAATTAAAGCTTTTGTTGCTCTAAACAGACAAAATAGACTAAGCAAGAAACTTTGCAAAGCAGGGGATGGCACCACTGAGCTAAATCCCTGGTCCTAAGCAAGAAACATTTTAAAGAAAGATATATCTTAATGATTAAAGGATCAGTTCAACTGAACAAATTTATAAAGAATCAGTTGAACAGAAAGATGTAATTCTAAATTTGTATATCTATGTATCCGTGCATATTTACATATTTAAGCATAACTTCAAAACCTACAGAACAGAAATTTATGGAACTTGAAGGAAAAATTGACAAATCTGTGCCCATTCTGGGAAACTTTAATTAATAGCTGGTGTACAGTTTGTAAAGGGGGAGTGGGGGAGGAGGTGAAGGGAGGACAGGGACAAGGGGAAAAAATGCGAACTAAGACCTGTCATGTAGAGGTACAAGATCCCAATAATGAATGTAACTGTACTGTATACCTAAAATGTATCAATAAACTCAATGAGGAAAAAAAATAGCTGGTTGTACAAATAGACAAAAGGCAGTAAAGATGCAGAATACCTGAGCAGCTTGGTTACTGAGCTTGACACAGTGGACTTGTCCAATAGAGTGTACATGCTTTCCTGGTCTTCATCTTAGGCTTCAGTCTGATACTTTGCTGGTAAGCATCC